CCTCCTGCTCCAGCCCCTTGGGATAAACCCTTCCAGGCAGGAAAGAGAGGGATAAACCTCTGGCTGGCACTCCCTGACCCCTCCTCCTGGTCCAGCCCCTCAAGACAAACCCAGGACTAGACCAGTGCCACCAGTGCCCTCGGTCCCAGCAAGGCAGCCCCACTCACTTGGCCATGGTCTCCACGCCCACCCGGACCTTCTCCCGGTCCTTGTTGAAGGTGTGGATCTCCATGATGGAAGCAGCCACTGGATCCACGGAGAAGTGCTGGGGGAGAAGGAGAGGAGCTGGTCAGGGAGGAGCTGAGCCCAACTCAGCACCACGTTTGTTCCCCCCTCACAGCGGGATAAAACACCCCGTGGGTTGGGATAAAACACCCCGTGGGTTGGGATAAATGTGGTTCAACAGGTAAAGTTAAATTGTCCTGGGGGAGATTTTACAGGGAGGAGGTTGGGGAGGTCACTAGAAGGGACACAAAAGGAGTTAAGAGGAGGAGGAAGGAAAGCACTCACTGCCTGGATGGCTTCCCGGAGGTGCTTTTCCTTCTGGTCTTTCCTCACGACGGCACCGGTCAAGGGGCAGATAAAATAGACCCCCGAGACAGAGGGAGCGGCTGCCCCTTCCTCCTGCTCCTAAAGGAGGGAAAACCAGGCACCAAACTGAGCTTGGCTTGGGTTTGCCTGTTGTTTAACACCCCGGGAGATCCCCCCAGGGCAGGCAGGGAAGGGCAGCACCTCCCTCACCTTCTCCTCCTCGGGGAGCCCCTTCTCGCTGGCAGCTGCCTCAGCCATCAGCTCTCTCCTCACTAGGAGACACAAACCCTGGTTACAGCAGAGGCTCAGCACATTCCAGAGGCTTTGGGACAGCACAGGGGAAAGGGAACACCTGGGGAAGGGAACACGTGGGGAAGGGAACACCTGCCCAGGTGCTCTGTCCCAGCCCAAGGGTGAACATGACCCTGACCCCATTCCCAGCTCCTGGTGCCCCACCCTGGCAGTTTTCCACCCAGGAAACTGGGTTTTCCATCCTCAGGCTCTGCCGGAGCTCCAGCCGCTCCTACCCTGGTTCTTGATGGACTCCTGGGAGCAGGAAGGCGCCTTTCCCTTGGGCTTCAGCTCGAGCCGGGCCAGCGCCGCGGCCGCCGCCATCTGAGCCTCGTCCGTCGGGGCCTGGCGGGGCTTCGGGGCCGCCTCGGCTTTTGGCTTCTCCCTGGGGGCCCTGGGAGGGGGGACACGGGCTTGGTGACCCCCCTTCGGGATTAATTAGGGTTAATTAAGGTGTGGGTTATGGGAGGGTTAATTAGGGGGACAGGGGGACGCCCCCTCTTGCGCAGGGATAACCCCAAAAGGAATGAGATACCCCATGGCCCAGCCCAGGGGGGTTCATTTATAGGTTGGGGGTTAATTAGAAGGGTGTTAATTAAAAGAGGGAGGGGAGAGCCTCATTTTGGGGGGGGACACAACACACCCCCTTCCAGGCATGACAAGGGCCTCAAAATGAACAAGACCCCCGCCTTTTCCCCAGGATAAGGGGGAATGACCCAAACCCAGGGAAAACGACCCAAAACCCGGGGAAAACGACTCAAACCCGAAGAAAACGATCCAAACGTGGGGAAAACGACCCAAACCGGGGGGAAAACGACCCAAACCGGGGGGAAATGACCCAAACCCGAGGAAAACGACCCAAACCGGGGGATAACGACCCAAACCGGGGGGAAATGATCCAAACTCAGGAAAAACGACCCAAACCCGGGGATAACGACCCAAAACGGGGGATAACGACCTAAACCGGAGGAAAACGACCCAAACCCGGGGATAACGACCCAAACCCGGGGATAACGACCCAAACACGAGGAAAACGACCCAACCCGGGGGATAACGAACCAAACCCGGGGATAACGAACCAAACCCGGGGATAATGAACCAAAACCGGCCCCACGGAGCGGGGACACCGGTGACCCCCGGGGGATGTGCTGGTCCCGGTGTCCCCTGAGGGGACCCGAGGGGTCCCGGGGATGGCTCCCGTTCCTCCCCTCCCCGTTACCGGGACGGCTCCGAGAGCTTCTGCCCGGGCCCCGCCGTCTTGAACTTCAGGTCGGCCTTGATCTCCTGGAAGAACTTGCGCATGGCGGGGCCGGGAACGCCGGCACGGGCCGGGTCGGGATCAGGAACACCGGGACAGGGCCGGGATAGGGCCGGGACGGGATCGGGAGCGCCGGGACAGCGCCGGGCCAGGGCCGGGCCCCGCCCGCCTTTCCGGCCCGCCCTCACCGTCACCGGAACGGGCCGGGCCCGGCCCCGCTCGAGCCCCGGCGGCGGGGATGGGACACACAGACTCCCCGGAGCCCAGGGCACCGCCAGGCTGCACCCGGACACCCCCACGGAGCCCACACCCGCACCCGCGGACCCACACAGACCCCAGGCCTGCACCCACAGACCCCAGACCCGCACCCTCAGACCCCAGGCCTGCATCCACGGACCCACACAGACCCCAGACCCGCACCTACAGACCCACACAGACCCCAGGCCTGCACCCACAGACCCCAGACCCGCATCCACGGACCCACACAGACCCCAGGCCTTCACCCACAGATCTCCACAGACCCCAGGCCTGCACCCACAGACCCCAGACCCGCACCCTCAGACCCCCACAGACCTGCACCCACGGACCCCAGACCTGCACCCATGGACCCCCACAGACCCCAGGCCTTCACCCACAGACCCCAAACCTGCACCCACGGACCCCAGACCCTCACCCACAGACCCCTCTGGTCCCCAGGCTTTCACCCACAGACCCCAGACCTGCACCCACGGACCCCAGACCCTCACCCACAGACCCCTCTGGTCCCCAGGCTTTCACCCACAGGCCCCAGACCTGCACCCACGGACCCTCACAGACACCAGGCACCCACTCAGGTGGCACCCACAGAACCCTCAGACCTGCACTTTAGACTACCCCAGACCTGCACCCACAGACCCCCAAAGACGCCAGACCCACACCCTGAGACACCCCCCCAGTCTCCAGGCCTTCACCCCCAGACCTGCACCCCTCGACCCCAGACTCGCAGCCACAGACCCTCTTGGACCCCAGACCTGCACCCATGGACCCTCACAGACACCAGGCACCCACTCAGGTGGCACCCACAGAACCCTCAGACCTGCACTTTAGACTACCCCAGACCTGCACCCACAGACCCCCAAAGACCCCAGACCCACACCCTGAGACACCCCCCCAGTCTCCAGGCCTTCACCCCCAGACCTGCACCCCTCGACCCCAGACTCGCAGCCACAGACCCTCTTGGACCCCAGACCTGCACCCTTAGGCCTCCCCCGGTCCCCAGGCCTTCACCCACAGACCCCAGACCCACACCCATGGACCCCCACAGACCCCAGGCTCCCCCCAGACTGCACACCCAGAGCCTCCAGGCTCCCCCAGGCTGCACCCACAGCCCCCCATGGACCCCAGACTCTCCCGAGCCTGTGCCTGCAGCCCCCACTCCACAGCCTGAGCCCCCCCAGTGCCCCCGGGAGCAGCCCCGGGCTGACCAAACCAGCCCAAAACGGGCTCGGGATCTGGGACACGGCCTGGGCTGGAGGACCTAAAGGACACGGAGAGGGGGCTCGTGTCCCTCCCACCCCACAAAGCAGGTGGGAGATGAGCCAAGGGGCTCAAACCCTGAGGATGGACTGCTCCATCAGTCAGGCTGCTCCACGAGGTTTAATTGTGCAGCACAACAACTCCTCCTCCTGGGACAAGGACACTCACTGCCGTGGAAGGGGCTGCCATGGGCAGGATGAGGTGAATCCTGGACCCTCACCTCAAATGGGAGGGTCAGTGGAACAGCTCCTGGCACTGCTCCTCTGGTGGCATGGGCACAGGGATCAACCCCTGGGACACCACAGCGGCACCCAGAGCCACAAACACACGGATGAGGGAAGGATCCACAGTGGGATCACCAGCGGGGATTCCTGGACTGAGATACAGAACCACTGGCCACTGAGACCCCCGTGCCCATGGCACAGGAGACACTTTGGAGAACACAGAGACCCCTGAGAACTGCTGGGATACGGCACAGATGGGATATGGCACAGACGGGATATGGCACAGATGGGATATGGCATGGACTGGATGTGGCACAGCCAGGACATGGCACAGCCCATCAGGACCGAGAGCTCCCTTACAATGTGAACTCCCAACACCCTCCAGATACCCCTCACTCCGTGAATTCCCACTGGCAAAGCCTGGTGGAATTTCCTCTCAACACACCCCAGGGTCTGTTCCCCCCCGGGG